AAGAGCAGCACAGGTGGGTTTTGTCTTCTTTTGTTTTTAATGTTCTGGCAATGTGGAGAACTGGGAAACGTCCTGGGTACAAAGAAATCAAAATTGACACATTCTGATAATCTTTAGCAATCTCCCTCTTTCATGTTCCAGTTTTCTTCTATAAAAGACACAAAGCAACTAGGCAAGTTTTATGACTAAATACTAAATGTTAGCTTGTTTCCCTTTTTTAAGAACCTGAAGAGATTCATAGCATTTCTGTTCTCAGATTTGTAATGCGTTCTTTTGGTTATATTAGTCAGCTCTTGCTTTGATGGTGACAGATGTGCATACTCTGTAATTACCAAGTTTGTGCTTGAGAGTTTTACTGTGCTTGAAGACTTGAGTCAGTTTGAAGGATTGCAGGTGTCCTTATAATATTGGTTAGGGGTTTTGTTTTTTTTAATGACTGACAAGAGTGGCCCTCTGGCTATAGCATAAATCACAACAACTAGTACTTTTTAGTGGCTCCAAGAGAAAGATGTTTGATCTGCCTACAGGAATGTGGCTTCTCCCCTTCATATCACCCTGTTGTCGTGTGACGGGTTGCTTCTCTCTTATATCCAGAGGGTATAGACGAGTCATAAAGGTAAAAAATGATAAAAAGTATAAAGTCGTGTTGTGTTAGAAGTTGTTTCAAAAACTTAATGATGAAAAAAGGCTCACAGGGGCTATCTGACTTCATATTGTTCCCAATGCTAAAACCTGCGACCTTTGAGGAAGAGGTCTCGTCTTCTTCGTTTATGAAGTAGAAAAGATCTGAGATGTTGAATAGCTGAAAACTTTAATAGATATTGTTGTGATGAAATCTGCTTCATATTTTGAGTTGGAAAAATGAGCATGAGAAATTGTTATGTAAGAGTTTTTAAAAAAAAAAGCCGAAAGAGATGCGGAGGAATAGTGAACTATGTCAGTGAAGATCCAACTTAAGAATGTGAGATTTCGGTGGAATAGATTTCAAGACTGAAGAATGAATGTGAGGTTTTATATTTATTCTGTATCTTCTCTCCCCTTGCCAGTAGTAGTTAATGAAAAGACAGTTGTTCCTTCTGTCTATAAACTTTCCACTTTATATTTTTAACTGTGAACAAAGCGTCAACCACAGAAAAAAAATCTTTCTTTGGCTCATGAAAGACTTTTCCTAATTTTGTAGCTTTAGAAGGATCAGCTAGTCTGGCCTGCACCATTCAGGATTTCTTTTAGCAGATGCCTGCTTGAAATCTAGTAGTGGTGGACAGTCTTAAAAGAAAACTGAACTAAGAAGCAATCTCTGTATTATTGTTGCAGGCTATGAATGTCTTGGCACCGTCAGAACAGCTAGAAAAAGCCCTTCTGTCGGATTCACCCTCGTGCCAGGCAAGGAGAGCTGGAGATGGTCTGTCCACAACAATTCAGCTTCACAGCCAGCACAAGAACAGAAAGAATGGTGGAGTCCAGTCCAGCCATGTCTTGCTCATTAGGGTTTTTTCTACTGGAGACCAACAGATTAAATGACACCTGAAAATGAACTAAGCAGTGCTGTTCGGGATGTGCTTTGAAAATGACTGCCTCTAAAGAGTACTTGCTTACTTAAAACAGATGTCAGTACAGTTGCCTAACTATTTGCTGTTAAATTTGAGCGCGAGGCGCCAGTGCAGTCTCCTCATGCTTGGTTGTAAAGCTTGACTTGAGAGTCAGCTAACTGCAGAGTTTTTTCCTACGTCCGTTCCCCAAGCAAATGGAGAAGATCAGTCATTGATGAGAACGTCTAAAGAGATGGTTTACTGGTTATGATTTTGAGACTGCTAGCTGATACTTGGTGGCTATTGCATGGTCAGTGCAATTTTAGGTCAAAATGCCTCTCCTGATTGTGGAGTTTGATCTTTGATACCGGTACAGCTGTTGATGTTGCTGTATTAGATTTCAGCAGTGTGAAGAAACGTAATAAAATCCGATGTCCCAAAAATGTCACAAGGAAGAGAAGTCAAGCCTCATTCACATGCATTTTTCAGGCCCAATACAGATTTAGAAACTATAGGGGAACAGGGAAAAAGCAAAGGAGGCTTATTTATTGATCATCAAGCAGATGAAAAACTCCATGCAGTGTAATGTGATTTTATTTTTTGTTGTTGTTGATTCCCCCCGCCCCGGGCAGGGGGCTTTTCAGCATGTTTGAATTGACTGTGTTTCCACTGTTCCTCAGATTTCAACTTTGTACACACCAGAGGCAGAGGAGGTGTTTACTAGTGATAACGTGGACTATATGGATCTCTCCAGCTTTCAGCTAGCTTTAAGGCCAGTGTTTTTCCTCCTAAAATTTGAAAGTGCCGTCACTGCAGACCGTAGGGTGCGAATGAAGCACTCAGCATCTCAGATGAGAAGCTTTTAGAATAAAGCTGGTCAATTATTTATCGTGACACTTGTACTGTGTCTTCTGCAGTGTAGCCTCGGGCTTGTAGGCAAGGCTGCAGTATAAATGATAGCGTTAATACACTTGTTCTCTGGATTGATAGGTTTGCTGACAGTCTGGCACCGGGAGAGCTGCCATTCTGTGTTAGCAAGTGTAAGCAGGCGAGTTTAGGCAAGATATTACTTGTGCATGCAATGATCTCTTTACTGTGGGGCCGCTTAGATGAGCTTTTTACTGTGACGGAGCTGCGTAATGTTGGGAGCAGCTTTTCTGTAAAGAGAGGCTGGATTTACTGGGACTTAGGTGTCTTAATCTGCTGCTGTAAGACTGTATGCTTCAGCAGATTTTGGAAGGGTGTGAATGATTAGCAGCTTCACGAATTTCTCTCAGTAGTTGAAATGATAGTTAATTAAATGTGTCAGCTTTAAAAGCACTCAAGAGTAGTATCCAGTGCAAACACAGAATAATAATGTTGGGCCTCTGTTAGAACAACTGACTGGCAACAACGCATAACAAAAATCCTTACCCTGAAGGACTTGACTTCCTGTACACCTGGAATTACCTTAAATAATAGTGGAAATTAGAACACAGAGAAATACTATTTCCTTCTAACATTGCTTCGTTAAATTCATATCTCTGAATAATTTAAATAAAATTCCCAGCATCGTGGCAGGACAGTCCAGTGCTTGGCCAGACTGGGAGCTGACAGTCTGCAGCTGGGTCGCGGTGCCTTGTCACTTCTAATGGGGAGGTGAGGTCCTAACTGGACATCTTACTTTTCTTATCCACACAGAGGAACATGGCTCTTATGACAAGTAAACTGTATTTTTAGGGCACAATATTTATATAGTAAAAATTGGAGTTGATGGTTTGTCATCTCCTAATTATTTCTTTTGATGCCTCTTCAGACCCTTGTTACTTATTAGACATAATAGTGGACATGGCTACTTCATGTCAGGCTTTCCCCCCGCCCCCCCCGCCTCCTTTTTTCATAAGATGGGAAAACTCTAATTTCTGTGCCTGAATAAAAGTAGATATAATAATCTTTGCTGCACTGCTTCTCTTGCTTTCCCCTCAACAATTAATTAAAGCTTATAAAGTAACCTTGTTCTCCAGAGAGGTTGACCCTTTTCAAATAGAACTTGATGAGTTGGAAACTGGATTATAATGTACCTGGTAGATGCCAATAGAATCTGCATTTGGCTGCTGATTTGAAGGGTCTGGAAATACAAACCTAAATTTAAAAAAAAGTTATAAACGACAGGAAGAAAGCACTTCTGCGTTTTCCACCTAGTAGAAATGTCCGCAACTGCAATCTTTCTCTTACCTAGTTACATGTCTTTTTTTGAACATACCACACAGCCTGGGATAAGTTTTCCTGCTTCAAGGCAGGCATTTTTGGAGAGATGGGGAGGATTGCCCCTTCTCCCCCAGTGTGAAAATATTTTCTGTTGAGAAACATAATTTTCTTCTGTCGTTTTGACCTGACTTTCTTTCACATGTCTCTGCAGTGACCATGTGTAGTGGTTTTGCCTCATCTCATACAATAATCCCAAAATTTTGGTGGGAAAGCATTACAGTTTCTCTGCATGGTCCTTGTTTTTTGGTGTTTGTTTTATTTATTTTTTTTTTTAATGAAAAGGTGATGTGTGCCTTTGCCTGTAAGCAAATTCTGCAGCAGTGGTTGTGGAGTGTATCAGTGGTCTGTTGAGTGCAGTTATTTTTAGCCCTGTCCGTTTCCAGGAACGCCTGTCTGCCACTACTGATACAAAAAATGAGCACAACCCTGATAATGCGTGCATGATTTGGGTTTCTGAAACCTAAAAACTTCTGACTTCCCGCCTCCCCCGGTGTCATTGCAAATCAGGTGCACATCCACAGTGGGATTGCACAGGAACACCGGACCTCTTGGTGTCATTGCAAATCAGGTGCACATCCACCGAAGCCCAGTGGGATTGCACAGAACACCGGACCTCTGGATTGAAATTACCCAGTGACTAGGTTTTGCTTGATCTTTCAGTATTCTCTAAACTTCTGATCGGAAACCCTTAGCGATGTATTTTCAGGAGGAAAAAGAAAGGCATTATAGCGTGCTTCCAGTGAACACGTTTAGCTGGTTTTCTGTGTGCGTGTATAATTTTGACCTTCCACTCGGTTAGGAAGTAGACCCTACTTGACCCGTATGCACGTTTGTAAGTGGATGTTTTGTGGATGTTTTATGAATGTTTTCCGCATCAGGTGGCATTTGGCAGCTTTCGCACCACACAGCCAAAGTTTTACGGCCTTCAGTTCTGTGTTACTTTTGTTTAACAACCTTAATTGATTTTTGCAAAGTGTTCATGGCTGACTGACTCCCTCAATCTTTCTGGAGTGGTACAGCGCATGGGATTATCCGTGCGTGACACAGTGGAGCCTGGCACTTGGATGAACAAGCGTTCCCCCTGTACTTCTGCTTTGTTGGCACGGAGCGCGCTGTGTCTGTACGGACCCGGGGACGCCTCGCTCGCCAGGGAAGCCTGCTCGGGAGAGGGAGCTGGCTCCTTGTACGTGAGCGTGCAACGCGTTTCTCTTTTTCTTCCCAGCCATGTCTCAAGCCGTGCAGACAAACGGGACGCAACCTTTAAGCAAAACATGGGAGCTCAGTTTGTATGAATTGCAAAGAACGCCTCAGGTAATGCGTGTTCAAGAGCTGGCCTTTACGGCAAGGCTTTTTTTTATACTTTTTAGAACTTGAAGCTTGATGTTTAAGATTTTCTTTTTCTTTTAGCAGTTTAACTGCCTATTTTAAATGACAGTATATGTTAAAAAAATTATCCCAAAACAAAACCTGTCTTATAATATTAGAAAAATAAACCAATGTTTGATCTTTATTTCTTTTTTCCTTACTTTAGTAGTATGCGTGTGTCTGTTTGACGTGGTTAAGTATGTGTCTTGTTTTGTCTTTTTACTGTGTTTCTCTTTAAAAGAATAGTAAAACATGCAATCTCTGTGAGGAAGTTACTAAATTCCATTAAAGAACTTTTCCTTTATTTTACACTAGGAAGCAATCACCGATGGCTTGGAAATAGTGGTGTCACCTAGGAGCCTGCACAGTGAACTGATGTGTCCCATCTGTTTGGATATGTTAAAAAACACCATGACGACAAAAGAATGTTTGCATCGCTTCTGTGCTGACTGTATCATTACAGCCCTCAGGAGTGGGTATGTAAATATTACTACAGGGAAAAGGGATTTCACTTGAGATGAAAATTTGATCAAGGAAATCCTTTAAGTCCTGGGTGTTGATGTGGAACAGTTACGTGCCTGTGCACTGCAAGTTTCTGAATGTGCAGCACACCTTTCATATTTCATTCCTCTGTGTTCACCCATCTGTGGCAGATTGCAAGTTTCTGAATGTGCAGCACACCTTTAATATTTCATTCCTCTGTGTTCACCCACCTGTGGCAGACCAGATCTGGTTTTTTCCTCATATGAAAAATCATCCCATAACTTTGTTTCTTGCAAGGAGTTGAAAACCTCTTTTCTTTTTTTTTTTCTTTTTTTTTTTTTTTAATCCAGTAACAGCAAAACACAAATACACTACATTACTTCCAAAAATGAGTCTCATTTCTCTTATTCTTCCTTTTCCTAATAATAAATTGCAAATTGTGTGGCCTTTCAGCAGTAGTCCTGCTTCCAACAACCTATGCTAAACTACAAATAATTTTTCTTGTGTTCTTCAAGTTACAAGTTTGTATTTTCGTAAAAGCGATAGAATTCTGAGGTAACCAACAGCAATTAAGTCAATGATGTGAGTGTCTATTTCTGATAGTGGCAATTACCTGTGTTCAGAGGGCACACTTAATTTGCTGTGCGTGTGTAAATTCTGATGAGTAATTAGCAAAAATACATTAGAGGGAAACAAGAAAACCATTAGGAGTAAAGACGCCAGTGTTTCAGCTATTGAGGCCTCTTCCTCTTAAAGGAAAAAAACCTGTGTGAACCTGACATTTTAGTTAAATGAGAACAAAATGGTAGGAAGGACAAGACTGTTTTAGTTTTCCCAGTAATTAGTGCTTGAACTATAGAATAGATTCCTTAACTTCTGTTTTGTCCTGCGAGTGCTAGGAAGACTATGCCTTAATTTAATTCCCACTAGACATGCATTTTTTCTAGGTGAAAATCCATCCAGAGGGTTAAGGGAAGAACCGTTTTGCAGAGTGGAACTTTTGAACTCTCCAGTCTAAATATAGTTTGCTCAAACATACTTGAAAAAAAAAATTAAGCAGGGAGATACATGTTTGGGGTTTCTGTTTAAGTATCTGGAACTACCTGATCTGTCAAAAGATAGAAGCCCCGTTCCAGATTTACTATAAATACTGAGTCTTGGTAAGCACTTTGACTAAGAATTGCGGCATTAGGGCAGACTTCTGTTACTGCTGGAGAGTTAGTATTGTTTTCTCCCTTCTTGTTCATGTCCAGCAACAAAGAATGTCCCACGTGTCGTAAAAAGCTAGTTTCAAAAAGATCACTGAGACCAGATCCCAATTTTGATGCTCTCATCAGTAAAATTTATCCAAGCCGAGATGAATATGAAGCTCATCAGGAGAGAGTGCTAGCAAGAATCAGCAAGCACAATAACCAGCAAGCTTTAAGTCACAGCATTGAGGAAGGATTAAAGATTCAGGCTATGAACAGGTATGTAATCCACGTAATTTGTCCACGTGTAACCTTGTTTGCCTTAACACTAAAAATACACCATCTGTCCTCACTCCCTGTATAGCCTCAGATTCCTCTTCTCTCCTCTGAAGTCTGCCAAAATCATTTTTAACCTTTGGCAAAATAATTTCTAACCTTTTGTCTACTAATAGAAACCTTTGTGTCACTCCCTGCAACTTCTGTGGCAGCCTGATGTAGACAGCAGATTTCAGCTTAGCTTTAACAAATGATGGTTATCATGTTTTAAATAATAAACTGTAAGACAATGAATCCAGTACCAACATGTTACCATTACATGCGAATAAATGCACATAATGCTAGAACTTAGGTTTTAATTGCGACTTAATTTACAAGATTGGAATATATGGTGTTTACAGAGTATTGAAATTCTGGGTGTGCATTTAAACCATAAGAGAGCCAGCTGGGAAAGAGGCCGCAAACTTTACGTTGTGGTGAAGCATGGTGTGATTTGTATTTTTAATCACATGTGGATTCATATTGAGATTAAAATAATGGTCTGAAATTGCCTGAAAAATAAAAATAACTGTATGAAGTTAAAACTGATCTTAAAACATGTCTAAAAGGTGCTTAGGGATAGGAGAAAATCCATAGTCTTGTCTATGAGTATCTTTTTATAAGAAAGAATGAATTTTTTTTTAAACTTTATCTCTGAAACGTTTAGTGCTTGTGTATGTCTAACTGGCATGACAGAGACTGGGGGAGGGAGGAGTTGTACAAGCATTGTGGGCCTGTACATTGGGTGAATTCTGAATGTGGATTAGCATTTATTTCTACCTATTTCTGATCAGGCTACAGAGGGGCAAGAAACAACAGATTGAGAACGGTAGTGGTGCAGAAGATAACGGTGACAGTTCACACTGTAGCAATGCCTCAACACACAGCAATCAGGAAGCGGGGCCTAGCAATAAGAGGACCAAAACATCGGATGATTCTGGGCTAGAACTGGACAATAACAACACAACTGTGGCAATAGACCCCGTAATGGATGGTGCTAGTGAAATTGAATTAGTCTTCAGGCCTCATCCGACCCTCATGGAGAACGATGACAGTGCACAGACGAGGTAAATGTCTTCTATTCCTCTTCATGTATTCTGCCGTTATTTTCTGTTGCTTTTCTTTCCTATCATTCCTTGGAGCTTCTTAAAATCAATCTATTTTGGTCATACCACATCCTGTTTTTTTTTCCATTCCAAGTCAGGTAGATGGTACTGCGCAACTACCATCAAGAATACAGTAACAATCTGTTTTAAGCCTTTGATCACAAATAAAGATGTTGTTACGGGTTTCTAGCATTGCAGTTTTCAGTAGGTACTAGGATGATGGTATGATATTAGCCCCTTTCTACTTATTATAAGATTCTTTGGGAATAAAAAAACCCTTGCATAAGTGTCAGCAGTTTTCGGAGCAACTTTGTGTCAGCGAGATTTGTTAGGCTGGAAGCTTTTCCTGGCATTTTTTTCATGATCCAGTCCAAGCACAGACTGCAAATTTTGGATCACAGTAATGAGCAGTCTCGTGGAGTTTCCTCAGATCTCTTCCTGGCTTTCTCTCCTGATGAGACATCCCTCTGTAGTGCCTATAAATATATTACAAGTTTCAGCCAGCTTTTCTTTTTGGTTTGGAGTTGCAAGGGAGTTCTGGGGATTGTTCTGAAAGGCAAAGACAAAGCTAAGCTTCTGGGAGAGAAAGCAGAGAAAGCTCTGCAGCTTTTCTGTCAGCCTTTAATTCTTGCGTGAAGAATTAAAGTGAGAACAGATAGTGAGACAGTAAGGAAGAGTAACTTTAACGAGGTGCAGAGTGTCGCAAGTATCGCTCTCGCACCTTACGGCTTTCTGTCCAGGCACTTCAGACCGTATCTGTGCTCAGAAGATTTCAGCAGTCGTGAGTAGTTCCCAAAACCCCTTGACAACCTGTTACTAGGTTCTTCATTTCGAGCAGATGACAGGGCAGTGCTGTCTTCTCTCTACAAAGAGCAGGAGGGCCTGTGGGAGAAGTGTCAAAAAGATGTAAGGGCACTTTGGAACAATATAACTTGGTAAGCTGCTTACATGTCTTGGGTGAGAGCAATTAATATTCTTGTTTGTGAACCATCCTTAAAGGCCTTTTCACACTTGATGCTTAATATTCAGGGGTGTTTCAGATGTCTTTTTCCCATACCTGCAACTCAAACATCTTCGATTATCTGTGTGGTTGTTGTCACAGATACATCAAGACCTCAGGCAACGCCACTGTTGATCACTTGTCCAAATACCTAGCTGTGAGATTGGCTTTGGAGGAGCTTCGTAGCAAAGGAGAATCAAACCAGATGAACCTTGACACGGCCAGTGAGAAGCAGTATACCATTTACATTGCTACCGCCAACGGGCAGTTCACTGTAAGTAGAACTTCTGTCCAAGAGTAAAACTGAGCGTCGATACATCTTTGATAGAGATTTGATTAAAATCCACTCAGCGGGACTTTTCCTGAGTCGGCTTAGGGATAAAGCTCTAGCACCAGGTTGTTTATTTAGAAGCAGATCAACTCCTTTGTGGGAAAATGTATACAGCCAAAGCTTGGTTAGTGGAAAAGGAGGCATATAAATTGCTTGGGAAAAATCCAGTGATGCCAGCAACTACTAGCTGACTTACGCTATTATTTTACAGTTAAAATTGAAGAGGAGAAATATTACTTTGTCTGAGAGTCTTGTTTCAAGAGCAGATAGCTCTAGCACCAGGAAGCACCTATTGTAAGGTGGCGTTTCTCCACTTCCGTGTAGGCTTCTCATGTTCCACTATGAAACAGTTGTGAGCACACTTAGGGAAGAATCCCGCCTCGCAGTTGCTGACTTCAGAATGTTCAGATGCAACAGCAAGGCAATACCGCAGTTAGATTGAACTCTGAGCCCGGTCTTACACTTCGGCATTTATCTGAGTAAGTCTTCTGGTTAAGAGATAGGCGGACGCTTTGCAGTAAGACTCTATTTCAAACAGCTTTCAAACATGACTAGAGAGTCCCTTAGACAAAAGCCGAGATGCTTCTGGTGTAAGTACACATCTACTACTCCCTCTGTTTGCAGAGAGAGGAGAAACTCAAGTTCGCTTTATTTACAATATAAACTACTCACTTTGCAAAAGTGTCTTTCGGTGCTGTTTTGGTGAGATCAGCAGGGGTTCAGAATAGCTTGCATTGTTGCTAGACAAAAGCCGAGATGCTTCTGGTGTAAGTACACATCTACTACTCCCTCTGTTTGCAGAGAGAGGAAAAACTCAAGTTCACTTTATTTACAACTACTCACTTTGCAAAAGTGTCTTTTGGTGCCGTTTTGGTGAATCAGCAGGGGTTCAGAATAGCTTGCGTTGTTGCTTTTTGACGCTGAGTGCTTAGCTAGTATCTTGTTCCACATTAACTGTGATTTCTTTAAGTCGGCACATTCCTCTGATTTAAGTAGTTGTCTGTTGCTAACAGTACTACCTGTGCAAGCCATCAGATTTCATTTGTTTTGGTGTTCTCTTCTAGGTATTAAATGGCTCATTTTCCTTGGAATTGGTCAGTGAGAAGTACTGGAAAGTGAACAAACCCATGGAACTGTACTATGCGCCAACAAAGGAACATAAATAAGCTGTGCTGGAAAACTGAGATGGGACTAACTCTTTTTATAGCTATGACTCCTTTAATATTAAGAGAAGGCACCACCATTATCTTCACGGACAATACACGTGATGCCTTCAGGCTCTCTCAGTATACTTATTAATATGATTAGACAGTATTCTGGGTTGTATTTAATTTAGTCTTTGTTTTGGGTTTTTGGTTTTTCCCTAGGAGACTAAATGACCTTCTCCAGTGCATTCCAGTGTTTGACATGCTTTTTTGTTCCTAATGCATGATAACTGAACGAGTGTTCCGGTTTGGAATGTCTTAATTTTGTCCAGGTAAATCTGGATTTCTAATACATTTGACACAGTTATAGTAGCCTCTGTGAAGTATTGAGCATTGGATGGCTAAGTAAGTCTATTCAATAGTAACATATGCCAAGGAATGTGTTAAATGTTGTAATTTGCTAATGGTTATCCATAGAAAAGATCGGTAGAGGATTGATTTCTGATAGTCTTGCAGCTAGAGGTCATCCGATTCCCCAGAAAAGATTTATTAGTCCCTTTCTTGTGAACAAATGGAGCTGTAGGGAGAAAACTGACACTTTAAAACCTTGCTGTTTACTAGGTTTCAGTGCAAGGTGATTCGCAAGATTGGTTTGCTTTTTAATGAGTATTTCAGTCAAAACCCCCCCAAACAACCCAAACCCGTAACTCTTCCCTGTGTAGAACAATGCCAATCTTGATGCACACTACAGCTTCCCGTCTGGCCCCTGTTGCGGCGTTATCCTGTCCTCACGAGCTTAATTGAACAAAATATTCTGGAAGTTTTACAGCCCTACTCTATTCCCTATAATAAGAGATTTTTATTGTGAATGTATCAGAACTTTCTGCAAAGAACTGTCTTAAACTTTTTTTTTTTTAAAAAGCAAATCCCCAAAATTCCAGCACAAGGACATAATGCAACATCGAAATGCTTTGCTTTATAGAATCCGCGCCACCCCAGCTGTGAGCTTATCCGGGCTTCAGTTTGAGTAGGGAGGACTTCAACCATAAGCTGCTCAAAGATTTTTTTTTTTTTTTTAAATTTTTTTTTTTCTTTGCCATAGCTTTAACAAATGTGGCTTAGCACTTTGGAAGACAATTTTAGTACTTGACGAAGTTTACCATTTAGTGTCTTAAATTTAGGTTCAAGTTTTAAAACTTGGCAGTAGGCTGTTGTGTGAAGTCCAGTAGCTACTGTTCATTTGCCTGTTACACTCCTCTTCCCTCGCTCTGGACCTTGCTGTCACTCCATGGGGGTTGCTTTACCTGTTAGCATTCTGTCTTAAGGGAAATGATGTTACCGTGAGATTCCCTTTGCTGTAAGACTTGCTGATGAAGCCTTCACCCGTTTGCACCTGAAGCTAGAAGCAGAAAATATTGCTGATAGGTGAGAAGTTACATACTTCAAGCCATACGGTATCGCTCCTTCTTTGTCTTGCCCGTAGTTAGACTGGTTTTGGCATGTGGTACGGAAGTATTCAGATGCTCGGGGATTCCCTTGGGAAGCGCGTGCCCTTCCATCGCTTGGGTCTTTCAAGCCTAGCACTTGTAAATACGTGTTCATTCCCAGTCCTGTTTCAGATCAGCTTTATCCTGATGTGAAAACTGCACAGGCTTCTTTGAGTAACGTAATTATTTTCTCTTACTGGAAAGACTTGGGTTTTTGTGACGTGAAACAGAAGTTTTCAGGCCCCAGAACGCAGAGGGGGGCAGTTTTTAAGGAAATACGTTATTCATGACTTTCTGGTGAAATGTTGCGTTGTATAGACTAGTAGTGCATGTCCACTAAATATAATCTGGGGGGTGGGGGAGCGGTGATTATAAATGCTTTAAAATTTATGGGGAAACTTCTAGATTAGTTGCAGCATACCTTCCCATTGTGATAGCTAAGGTAATGTCCAGTCCCTTAAGCAAGAGAGGTGTGTGTTTGTGAAGCTGAGCAGTCTGTCTAGGAGCTGTCTGTCACTTTGTCCCCAGTTCTTTAAAAAGTGTGGGAGAATGTGAAGCTTTTATTTTCATGTTGTAGTGAATTTACTGAATATTTATGTTCTTTAAATATTAT